GGGGGGGGGCTGGCGTATGGTCCGGGACGTCTTGGGACGTCCTCGTGGGTGTGCTCGAAAGATCCCCAATGGCCGCCCTCCTCCCCTGTTGGTCCCACCCCCGCACTCTCGCCGGGCGTCCCGACAACGACCGATCGGGGCCCTGCCGCCCCTCCGGAAACGGTGCGGTGGCTGGCCGCAGGCGGGGGCCAGGGAGCAGGAACCGGCTGGGGGGGGGGGGGGGGGGGGCGTCGCCCGGCGGCGGCGGAAGGAAGCACGGCCGGAGGGGGAATTGGCCGACAGCGCATCGCCCTCGGGCCCCGCCCTTCACAGCCCACAGCCATCCCTGGGTGCAACACCGACCTGAGGGAGACGCCCAGGCAACAGAGAGCGCTGGCGGACAAACGGCTTCCCGTGCAAACGCCATGCTGGAAGTCTCGAGCGGGTTCGCATTAGCCGGCCGCGGTGCAGCCACACACGGCGGGCTCCTTCAATCGGGGGGAGTGACGACCAAGAGGGTCGAATCCGTGACCCGGAGGAGGCCGGGGACAACGGCAGCCCTAGAGGTGCCAATGATCCGGGCATGCTGGCAGCCAATCGCACGACCCAGGGGCGTGATCCAGGAGCCACGTGCACGCCCTAGATGGCGGGGCTGGCCTCGCCGTGTGTCGGCTCTCCCCCCCCCCCCCCCGCCCGGCCTCGGCCTCGGCCCCGCTCCTCCTAGTCCTCCTCCGCCCAGCGGCGGCGCCCCGACATGTGTAGCAGTATCCTGCGTCTACATGTGCTTGTCTAGTGGTGTTCGTGCAAAGTAAAGCGTACATTTCCCCGCTCCCCCGGGTCCGCCTGCTGTTCCTTTCGCCCACATGCGCGGGCGCGGTGCACACCCCCCCGGTGTGCCGTTCCCCCCTCCTGTCCGCTCGATCCATCCCTTCTGGCGATCTGACGATGGGGAAGGCGAGGAGAAACATACACATGGGAGGGGCACCAACACCCTGCACATCAGAGGGGGGCGGGGGGGGGGGAGGGGGGGGGGGCACCGTGCGAGCACACGCAAAGGGAATGGCCAAACGACCCAGGCAAGTCGCCCAGGAGGGAGGAGAACCCCGGGCACCGGTGCGCCGCCATGGCAACCAAAAGCTGCTCCCCCACCCCGGGGGTTGCTGTCACCTGCCCGCCGATGGAACATGCGCGCACAGCACACAGGCGGGCAATATGCCGCGCGCGTGAGAGAGCACGATGGATGAGCGCGCACGTACGTGCGCACATTTATGCTGGCCAGTGCGCGTTGCGGCTCTACTCTTGCACAGCTGCAATCCAAGTGACATGAGGGGAGGAGGGGG